TAAAAAAAATTCCTTAATAAAAAAATTAAAATTAAAAAAATGGGTAAACTCGGTGGTTCTTTTGGAGCACCCTTAGGAGACCCCAAAGAAACCAGAACAGAAAGCCACAGAGAACACACAATTGTTTTCAAGATTGGCAAGGATGATGGATAACAGGGTCAACACATTAAAAAACTAGGTGCTCCTCCATAGCAACCACCCACAGAGTATCAGGAAATCAGAGGTCTCACAGAAAAGTTACCTAGATGCTGTTAAGACATACAGAAAACAAGCCTTGTCAAATAAGGTAAAGGATGACGTTGGAAATTCAGTAGATAAAAATGCTTACCCACTTTTTTAAAAGGTCCAGGACTGGCTCTAACTGCCAGACACAGTTTTACCTACCAGAACAGAAGGTAAAGGCAGGTAACATCCTGAGGGCCAACAGGGTGTGGGGAAATACACATTCACATGCCTGGCCAGTGGTAACATAAATCGGTACAATCTTTTTTGAAAAGCAATGGGAAACATCTGTGAAAACTCAATGTGACCTTTTTGGGTACAGAATAAACTAATCCTTTACATGCAAACAAAGGCTGACATGGAATGATAAAAATGGCTTTCAAACTGGCCATGGGGGCTGGACAGCATCATACAGCTTGTTTAAACTGGTCCGTTTTATGCCATGTGAGTATTGCTTCAAAAGGCCTGCCAGCAGTCAGTACATCACAGGTTTCTGTCAACAAAGGGCACATACAAGATGACAAAGGAGCCGAAACATTCCCACCACCTGGCGACGTCCCAAGTCCTTCCACTCTGGTTTCTGCTGCACAGAACACACTTTCAGAGACAGAAACACTGTACTTACAGGCTTAGGTATTTATTACACTGTACGTTGTAGTCACTACTGTTTCGTGTGGTACTGGGGACTACACCCAGGACACTGTCCACGATAGGCAAGTACCTGCCACTGAGGTACAGTCCAAGCACCTTTCCAAAAAAAAAAAAAAAAAAGGTTTTGTTTTTGAAGATTTTATTTTTACTTGTGTGTGAGAGAGACAGCAAGCACTCATGTGAGCGGAGGTGGGCCAGAGAGCCTTGAGTCCCAGGAGCTAGCATTACAGGCAGCCATGAGCTGCCTGATGTGGCTTCTGAGAACTGAGTCCTAAAAGCCGCTCAAACTCAGCCAGAGCCATCTCTCCAGCTCCTCAAACCTCCCTTTTACTTTCTGAGACGGGGTCTCACTAGGCTGCAGAGGCTGGCCTTCTCACTCTGTAGTCTAGACAGGCCCTTAACTTGCAATTCTCCTGCCTCAGATTCCCAAGGAGCTGGATTACAGGACTGTATCATCAGGCCTGATCTTTATGATTTTTTTTAATCATCCATATGCCTTCCATTTATTAAAACGAGTGGCCAGGACTGGTGGCATATACCCGTAATCCCAGCTCTCAGGAAGCCGGGGAGGGAGGATCACGTCTGAGGCCGGCCTGGGCTACGTGGTGAGTTTAGTCAACCCCCGTCTCCCATGTTGTCACACCAGCAGGAGCTTCGCCAGTGGACTCACTTGCCTTAACCACTCAAGGTGTTTGCACAATGAAATTAGCATGGTTCTCGGAACAACACGTTTCTCAGAACACGTGCTTGTCGAGAAGCAACGTGTGACTGGACTGCAGATGGAGGTGTCCACCTCGGCAAAGCAGGAAGCAGCCCACTCGGTACAGTGGTTAGCCATGTTCTAAGACATCCATGATGCTAACATAAAGCCCTAGCAGCTCTCCAGTCTGGCCTTCAAAAGACTACCATGTCCTGCTGTGGGAGGACAGGCACATTCCAGGGAACAAAGCTCATGTAAGAGCAAAAACCAAAGGCGAAGCTTTGCTCCAGAGGACAAGCTGCTTCTGCGCTTGTCCTCTGGAAAGACACACCTCTTCTGACCGAGGCACATTGTTCTTTATACACAGACTACATTTTTGAAAGGTACCAATAAGCTTCTGTTAATTTTTTTTTTTTTAATGGTAAGACAGAAGCTCTGATGACTCAGTAGCAGCAGCAGGACCAGGGCTCCTCGGGAAGCACCAATCCGGTGACTGCATCCAGGTCACACCCAGACTTATCATCACAGAGAAGCCAGGGACCTCATTTCAGACATGACAGAAGTGCTTCTGAATGCCGGGACAGCTTGAAGAGGCTCCCAGCTAGCCAAACCCTTAGTCCCTTCCAAAGGACGATGATGATAAAGTATGAACTGCTCCATAGGGATACATAAAATAAACAACAGGAAAGGGAGGCAGGCTGTCTGGGTCATCAGAGTCCTAAATCGGAAAAAAAAAATTATTTGGCAAATTACCTGTCAAATCTGAATCATGCCAAAGTCAGAAATATCTGCTGAATCTGGGGAGGATATTTCTATCAGCAGCTCGTTCTCTCTAGAGATTGTTTTTCGGTTGGGAGAAACAACATGGTTAACTCTATCCTAGAGAAAGTGAGAAGACTTTGTCAGGTGCCCCACATCACTTATGCCGGACCTCTTCTTGTCACGCTGACCTGGACTTGGCAGATGGCACTGTTCCACAGCTGACGATGGCATCTCTTAGGGGTTGCCAAGGCTAGAGGAGGACGGACTGGTCTTCTGGCATGGGTCCAGCAGCCCTCTCCACAGGGGTGGCCCCCCACTGTCCCTGTGGCAGCCACTCCACAGAAGTCTTGGCCTCAGGAGAACCTCTCCTGGGTGTCTAAGTTCCTTGCAGGCCTTCTCAAAGGGTCCTGAGAGTGGGAGCTATTTTCTGCTGGGCTGTTTTACAGCCTCCCAGTAGGTAAACCACCTTTACATAGTGAACGGTTTAAAATGTTCCTGTTCATACCATCTCCTTACCAGACCAGGGGCTCACAGTGAGCATCAGGAGCAATTGGGGTGGGTGGACATCATGCCCCGCCCCTCCTGTGATGCCCTGGGTGAGCCTGGGACATGGGCGGGTTTCTACCTGGAATTCAAAAGCATTATCAGGAGGCACATCAGATAATCTCACATTGAGCAGCACCATTTGAAGGGGACTGTAGTCTTCTATAATGCCAATGTCACTTGAGATGAAACTATGGATTTACTCCAGATCAGAATGACAGCTGAGCGGAACAGCTGATCCCAACCTGCTCTGGACCTGCAGAGGAACCAACACTGGTATGAGGGGTAGCTTATTTCATCAGCATGAAAGGTACCCAACTTGGCACCTGTATTTTGCCTGTCAGAGACTATTTTGGGGAAACACCTGCTCAAGTACTTGAGGGACAGGCCACGGCGTCTGTGGAGAGTGAACACGCACATCTGAGGACAGGAATGATTGATCAAATAGAGCAGAGGTCAACAGGCACATCTGGATAAAAGACAGGGTTTTCATACAGTTTTTATTCTTGCAACTTTCTGTGGCCTTTGAAATTATTTCCAAATAAAAATTTAAAGACAATAGGATAAAACAATGGTTCTCAACCACGGCCAGCCCTGGAAGTGCCTGGCCCCATAGCTTTTAGTTCCTTTCACAAGGTACTTCCACTGTGCAGATAGGAGACAGACACTGTTCTTTACAGCAGCTCCTCTGACCTCTGAAAAGCAAGCACTGACCTTTGCCACATGCAGGACCATGAAGACTACAGGTATCAAGAACGGGCAGAAGTTTAATTTGTAGGGTGCTGGCCAACAGAGATTCCCCTCCTAGTGATTCTCAGGCCAAGAAGAAAACACATGTAAAGCTGGCAGGGGCAAGAATGCACTATCCAGCGATTCCCCAGCTCTCACTCCGCCCCTCCCCCCATTAATATGGCTCTTCTTGCTCTGCCTGCCAGAATGCAAGGAAGCTATTGCTCTCTCTCTCACAGGTAAACAGTTGAGTGTAAGCATCAAAGGAGCGTGGAATTTGTTCCCTGGACAAGTTCAGAGTGGGTTACTACCAGCACACTATCAAAGCCATTTCCTACTCTAGAGACAGTTATACAGAAAAAGAGAGCTGATGTTGTGGACTACATATTGCTAGGCTTGGTCCCAACCTGTGACAGGAGAGACGTGCAATGGGTATCAATGGCTGTGGTGACGTGTGGTGGCGGCTGCAGAGTCACAAGCATCTTTGCCCACTATGATCAGGGACCAGGGCAGAGGTCAGGAACAAGTCACCCATCCTGCTTGCACAGGATTTAGGTTCGACACCTCTTCTTTGCACATCTCCATTTTCAGAAGGGCTTAAAAAATGTTCAGGCAACTCAAAATTGAAAGGCCCCATGCTCAACATAAATTCAGCCCTAGACATGGTCCCTATGTATCCTTTATTTCTGTGGCTGGCTGGTTCCCCAGCTGACTGAGCCAGAAATCTGAGACTCCTCTTTAGAGCCCTCTCTTCTCCTGTGTCCCACATCCAGTGAGTGTCAACTCTGCCTCTCCCTTCTGGTAGTCCCCGACGGTGTTCTACTGTATCATCCTATCGGAGCCTCATTACACCCTCCAACCCATCTCTGCACTGGCACAGGGACCATCCAGGGCAGGCCTGCTGCCATCAGAGACATGCTTAGGTTTCTCCTGCACACGCCTGGAAGACCAGAGGACCTGCACATCCTGAGCATCCTCCCCAGACTCCCACAGAGCCTCTCCAGTTCTAGGCTTGAGCGTGTTCTCCAGCAGCTTGTCAGTGACGTCACTAAACCCTGGTCTCAGGGCCTCCTCTGGGCCCTGATCTACTACCATCACGGCACTGATGGACAGTACCTGCTTCTGGATGTCTCCTGCACCAGGGTTCCAAACTCCTTGGGACAAGGACAACACCATCGTTGTGTCTATCCCCTAGGTAGGCCTTGCACACAACAGATGTTCTAAAATACTCTAGAAAGCACCTGTGGTTTGCTGAATACCATGGCCTTTAGAATCTGGCATCATATAATGAAAACTATGCAAATCATGATGAACTGCAGGCAACAGCAGCATTTGAAACATTATACGGCTGCTCTGGAACTGAAATATCCCCAAATAATTAAAAACTACATAGTGAGGGCTGATACAGAGTTTATTGAATTAAATTTTTCTATTTACAATTGAGATCACATCTACATACTATTTTGCTAGTCTACATGGGTACATTATCTCTAATGAGTTTAAGACTGATGATGAATGGGTTCAATCACACAAACTCACACATTCACACTAATTGCTTTAAAACAGTAGTGCATACGTTATAGTCCTCCTATAAAGCCAGCTTTGATTAAAAACCACTAGTTTCAAAGATCAGTCTCTGATTTTGAAGATGAACAAAGACATACATCGTATGATTCTAGAATCTACGTTAGCCATTTTGTACAACTGCTATGTTATTGTACTACAGTATATATTCTTTAAAAGGACACTGATGAGGGGCACCAGACAGCTGGCTTCCTCCCTCCCCCCCACACCTCTGGTCAAGAGTTCTCACTGTGAAGACGAAAAGGGCCCAGGGCGACACCACTGTCCCACTCCCCACTCCCGGAGGCGACAGAAGCAGGCCCGCCCCCTCCTTTACTTCCACCACACTACCGAACTGGTCTGAGATTTAAGGGCATGGGGAGTCAGCGAGAACAAGGGTCAGAAAGCCACAGGTGGGTGGGTAAGCGGGTGGGTACAGAAATGCCAAGCTGCTGTCCAACACCAGTGTACGTGTGCTTTGACTAGATGAACTCAGGGGCCAACTGCCACAGGCCTGCTCGATTCACCTTCCAAATCAGAACAAGGATACTAAAAATCAGCTTAGACTCCTGCCGTCTGCTATGCGTAGGTTCCACCCGTGATGAGGAGCTCATAGGCAGGGTCTCTACTCCGTCTGCACAACACGATACACGCACACAGCATGCCCAGCAGCTGCAGGAAGAAAACAATATGAAATGCCTAACAACCACTTGGCAAATGTCTGTTTCTTTATTGGCAATACAGTGATTTCAAGTTTTAATGACCCCCAAATTGTCAAAAAACAAATGAAAGAGGAAATTTTTTTTTTTTTTTTTTTTTTTTTTTTTTTTTTTTTCGAGACAGGGTTTCTCTGCGTAGCTTTGCGCCTTTCCTGGAGCTCACTTGGTAGCCCAGGCTGGCCTCGAACTCACAGAGATTCGCCTGGCTCTGCCTCCCCAGTGCTGGGATTAAAGGCATGCGCCACCACGCCCGGCAAAAGAGGAAATTTCTTATGAACACGTAATATTTAACGGACGCGGCTGAGTGCTAAGCGTCAGCTTCCCTGCTTCCTATCCAGCAACCCTGAAGCTGCACAACGCCAGGCTCGTCCCTGAGATTCCCACTAAGAACCCACGCTGTGCTCCCAAGGCAGCTTCCCTGCTGATGGCCTCAGTCTGCACAGGAGCCTCCTGAGCACCTGAACACAGCTGCGCCACCGAGGAGCTGCATTTAGACTTTCACTCCGGTGAGACACGTGGCTGTGGCTCCCCTGCTGGACAACACCAGCCTAGAGAAACCTGTCTGATGGGATCCTTTTGGCATCTGGGTTTGAGGGAGAGAGGCTTCATCAGTAACCCACCGAGAACCATTACAGTAGGAAGCCAGTCACTGTAGTTTATTATTTACTATCTCAGATTCTGTACATTATTGACATATTGCTTGTCAAGGGCCACTGCGCCTTCGTAATTTTCCATTTTTGTTAAGTTCTTCTGGAGTAGCATACTGAAACAGACATGTTACATTATTAAACTGTAATATTAAAGAAAGTGATTCCAGCTGGCAGTGGTGTACACCTTTAATCCCAGGACTTGGGAGACAGAGATTGGTGGATCTCTGAGTTCAAAGCCGGCCAGGTCTACAGAGTGAACAAGACAGCCAGAGCTACAAAGAGAAACCTTGTCTCAAACCTCTCCCCCTCTCCCCAAAAAGGCTCTAAAATTCTTGACCCAATTTCTCACAAAATACAAATAGTAACCAATGTTACTTTGTTGATTCAAGTCCTCACAGACAGTGAAGGGCCTACGTTAATGGATTTTAAAAGGCAAGGGTCTCTGCACATATGGGTAATCTAAGTTTAGCAAATGTACCTGGGTCTATAAAGTCAGAAGTATGAGACACAGAGAATATGGTTGCCCCCGGTCTGAACTCTCCATGTTTAGAGCCACTGCGGATTCTGCCTTCCATCAGCCGCCATTTACCCATTCAGGCTGGGAGGCTGCTTGTGGGAGCCCGTTCTGGGGTTCCTCGTGGCTTTACCCAGCAGGTCCGAATAGAGGATGATCAGGACCACGGGCCTGAGTGCAGGTGTCTGAGATGGTCTGCACTTGGCTGTGCTGGGGGAGGAGGTCTTTTGCTCCACCCCTTGGAGTCTCTATA